TTAAACTAATCAAACGCTTAATCTTCCTTCCCCCAAACGATTGCATGCTTAAAGCAAAATCATGAAAATCAAGCTCATAAAAATAACTTGACTTAAGCACCAATCAAGTGAACAACCATAAATAAGATCAAATCGACAACCTTGCAATTATATATCATTTATTAATTAAAATTTCAGGCCAACTTAATTCCTCACCATTCACTCAAATCACTCAATGTGTTTCGGGTGTAGAAAACAAGTTCGCTCAAAGTTAAAATTAAACAAGGATCTCCATAGTCTTGTGACATGATTAATTCTCTGCTACTTATAAGAAATAAGATGCAAGATCATTAGGACTTTAGAAAAGGGTGTAATGGGGCTTAGGTAAAGGTAGGAAAAAGGCTAAACAAAGGGTAAAAATCAAGAAAGAATTTATAAATTAGGCACCCAAAGTTCACAAATAAATGACAACAAGAATATGTACAAAAGCAAATCAAATTAAACAATCATTTTGTTTTTTTCGACTTTTTTTTTCCCCTTTTTTCCTTCGAATGCCACTGTTTTTCTTATTTTTTTCTATTTTTCTAGAAACTAAGGTGGAAAGAAGCTTTTAATCCTTTGTCTTGACAAAGGTACAAAAAAAAGGTAAAAAATGTTTTATGGCTTATAATGAAGGTGAAAAAAAAAGAAAATGGACATAGCCTTCAACTTAGTTCACTAGTCGAAAAGAAACGGTAGTTTTTTTAGTTAGCTAAAAATGGGAGTAAATGCTAATGCCTAAATCATGTCAATGCATCAAATTTCACATGTAATCTCACAATGTATCCAAGCAACAAGTTCTATATTTTCATCATTCAATTTGACACTCTCAAGCAAGAAAAAGAGCATAAAAATAAGGAAATGCATGATCAAGGCTCAAAATCTCACAAAGTGGACAAACAATCAAGCTAGGACATGAATTCAATTAAAAAAATCAAGACATATTGCAAAAGGTCCTCCGGAGGTAGGAGAGAATGATGTTCTCCTCAAGGGCATGGAGACGTTCAGTAAAATGGGCACTTGTTCTTGTGTATTCAGACGATGCAAATATGGAGAGCGGAAAGCAACGGAAAGGGTTCATTTTAATTACGCATTCAACTAATTCAACCAAACATGCCATGAGACAAGTAAGACTGAATTTCATTCAACATTCCCCCCACTTAATCGTATTGTCCAATACAAAATAAATCAAAATGAAAGCATAAAGAGAAGGGTAAAGGAAACTCCCTATGATCAATGGTGACAGTGGCCACGGCCACGGTTAGGGCGGAGGTAGGAGAGAATTATGTGATGTTCTCCTCAAGGGCATGGAGACGTTCAGTACAATTGGGCACTTGTTCTTGTGTATTCAGACGATGCAAAGATGGAGAGCGAGTTGGTGCATTCCGGCAAGTGAAGACCCGCTCGGTCCGTGGTGTCATAACTTCTGGTGGAACAAAGTAAGGCACAACGGGTGATCCGACAAGCAAACCCATAAAGTTGAAACAACGCTCATATAATCCATCCATATAAAAGGCGTAAGTATAATTACAACATCGAAATTAGCTATAGGGGTGGCTAATTGAGAAATATATGGACAAGTATAAAAGGCTGGTTGGATTGAATGAAGATATCAAATTATAAGGAACCAAAAATCGATATTTACCTTTCTCCAATGAATATACAACAAAGGGAAAATAACTCACTCTTACTCAAAATATCGGAGGAGTCATTCCATCTCAAGAAATTTTACACTAAGAAGCGATGGATGTAACACAATTTCGGGTCGTGGAGGTGAATTGCCTTCACCGAGCGTGGGTTAAAAGGTTGAGTGCCAAAACCAGTAAGCATGGAGTACACCGCACCTACATCAAAATCCTGCAGAATCTCAATCAAAGCGTTAAATAATCTAGACTTGAGAAGTTTGTCTCGAATCCCATAACAAGATTAAAATCAGAGATAGACATATCAAATTGATTTATGCCTAAACGAAATGACACTACGCTAGAAGACTCGACATTGATGAACCGAGCTTGCAAGAATGTGAAAGTCGAATAAAAATTCAAAAACTATTTCATAAAATGTGTTGTGCTTTATTTGTGAGTAAAGTGTCCATCCAATAGCAACAAAATAAGAAACAACATCATCCTGAATGTGCAAATTTTCAAGAGTTCGTATTGGAATATACTTACATACTCGGAAAGGGAGGTGAAGGATATCTTGAAAACGAACGAGATGCTCATTTTAGAAGTGAATGAACCCCTTTAAGTTCTCCTCAGATGACACAACGTAGGTGCGACCTCGTCTATTACTTTTTGGGTGTTCAGATGTCGGCGGTGGACTGGCCAGAGGTGATGAAACTGCGTTCGAACTAGAGGCTTGATTGTGCAATGATTATTGTCCGAAACAGTGGTGACAAGACTGTGCAACGTCGGGATGTCCCAAAAAGTGATCGGTCAAAAAGTCCTATGTAAAACCAAAGGAAGGATGGTACATCAGTTGATATGATCCCGGTTATGTGTTCTGCGTCATATATGAGTGTGCCATGATAGTGGTTGAATAGATGTAACAAAAATGGTGAAGGATGTTTATGGTTGGCATGGAGAATGATAGTAATTCAAAGGATGGATTGTGACCCTCTAACTATATGAGTTAGGAACCAACAATATAATAAGGTGGAAAGGTAGAAGTGGTAGGATAGGGAACGTAACCCACTAGCTATAGATGAGCTAGAAAACAACGCTATAACAAAAGGGAATGGATGAAAACTACAAGACTATCTTGAATCTGATAAAGTTCTACAAGAGAACAAGAATAAAAGCAACATCTTAAAGATGTTATATATTCAAATGTGTGTCTACAAATGATCCCAAAGGTGCCTATTTATAGCATTTCTAAGCAGCATATGAAAATACTCAAAAGATTAAAGCATTCTCATCAATTGAGTAATAAAATGCACTTGAATGCTTTGTCTTCTTATCTTCAAGGTTGGTTGCATATTCTAGATCATTTTGGGGATGAATCTAGACAATATGAAGCTGACTTTGGCCTTAATTTCGTCCAATGGGTGAAAGACTCTTGTTATTCCATGCTGAAAATTGTCTTAATAAGTGAATTAGATCACCCTTCATTGAATGATCCCTTGAAGAATATGAACAACCCTTGAATTAGATGATAACAATCATATTTGAATGCCTTGAATTAGTGAATTAAGAGTCCTTAAATGGCTTGTCACTTGGCTGAAATTGAAAAGAATCTTCCTTGGCTCAAACTCATCCAAATCATCCATGCATAAAATTCCCATAACAAAATTCCAGCCTGCACTGACTTCAATAAATTGATCATATCTCAAGCTCCCAATATCGGATTGAGGTGATTCAAAAAGGAGTTGGAAAGATAAGAGATAAAGGAATAATTCCCAATTGATCTATAGAACCAAGCACGTATGTATCACATCCAGAATTGGAAGACATTCTGACTTACATTCTTGCATCTGATGAAACCATTCAACTTCTCTCATGCACCTAGACACAAAGGTGAGCAGTATTCAATCTTTAATTGAAAACATGAATGAAACAATTAAGAGTTAGTTTAATAAATGAACTAGATTGATGAATGAATTAGTTTTATTAATGAACTAACTTTATTAAATGACTAGATACATGAATGAAGTAGCTTACTAAATGATCTAAAGGCATAAATAAACTACTTCCCTAAATGAATTAGATGATTTAAATGCAATGCATGCTTAAATGAACAACACACTTATTAAAGGAAATGAACGTTATGCAAACTTTTAAATTCTCATGCAAGTTCAAGCACAAGCATAATCATGCAAATGAATGATAAAATATAGTGCATAAATGAGCAAGTGGAGAATGAAGTAAGGTAGAACTCCCTTTGAATCAACCTTGGTGAACTTCAATGATGTGATCAAATCAAAAAGAAAATTTGGGATGATTAGGATCACATCATGAGTAATGGTTGAATAGAAATATGACTAGATTTTACCTCCGAGTAATGGTTGTCGGTAGCAGAATGCATCGAGAAAGAGGGGACGATCAAGTGCCTCGGGTGAGAAGGAAATCATAGTGACCGAAAAGAGGATGAGGATGCCACTTTAGACATTGAATGAAAGGAAGATAAAGGTGACCGTGGCGGAGACGAGTGACAGTAATGACTAGGTCTGCCAATGTCGGGATGGCGTGATCGGCGATTAATCAATTGAGGAGAGGCAAGGGATAGTTCGGCCGACACATGTGGATGCACTTGGCCCTACTGTTGTCACCCATAGCTTGTAGAAGAGTTGGGGTGGGTTTGGATTCACTAGGACCTCCACGAATGCCGCAAGAGCGGAGAAACACTGACATCCACCAAAGACGGTTGGTGGAACGAACGTCCCATCATTACCTTGGTGGTGAAGCAAACCATTTTCCGGTATTTGTAGGGTATCTGAACGATGGAGATTGGAGGTTGGTGGAGGCTCATGACGTAAAATAGAAAGGGTACAAGGGAAAAGTCATCCAACCAAAATGAAGAGAGGGGATGTGAAGAAGATAGAAGGCGGTGGGTTAAAATAAATAAAAAACAAAAGAGGATAACTTTTTTAGGGATTTTTTTTAAAACTTACGTGATGATTGGATAGGATTGTTTCAAAATTTGAAACACTCAATCCTATTGGCCGGTAAAGAGGTGGGAAGTCAAAGGTGGGAATCAAAGTGAGGTGGTTTTGCTAACGTGCGTCGCGCCTGATGAAGGAACGCTAACAGCGTCGTGTTTAATGAAACGATGCACCTTTATTTAGAGAAAAATTTCACGCCTGCTGCTCAACAATTTGGCCAAAACTTTTTTATTTTCGATTGAAAATTTCACTTATCAACTCTGATTTAAATCAGATAAAAATGCATTTGTTCCTAAAAAATTAAAATTAAAATTATTTACAGAAAATTAAGAAAAGAAATCAAAGAATGAAGATAAAAAAGAAAAAAAGTGGGTTGCCCCCCACAAGCACTTTGTTTAACGTCATTTAAGCTCGACGACCTTTATTTTTCAAATTCTCAGTTTTTCCAAATTTATTTCCTCAATTAGTCTGATTGGTGCACCTGAACTATCTTCAACTTCCATGGCTCCATGAGGAAAAACATCGATTATCGTCAAAGGTCCAATCCACTTAGATTTAAGCTTTCCTGCAAAAATTTTAAATTTTGAGTTAAACATGAGAACTTTTTGCCCAACAAAAAAAGATTTAAATGAATTTGTTTTGTCATGAAACACCTTCATTTTTATAGTGTTGTACGCTATCGTATGTTTTTCAGCGATCTCTTGGATGTGTAATTTCCATGCTTTGTCTACAACACTCATCTCCATGTTACATTCCTTAATGACCCAATACGCCTTACGCTCAAGCTCGACCGGCAAGTGGAAAGATTTGTCGAAAACAAGTCGATAAGACATGTCGATAGGTCCCTTATAGGTCGTCCAATACGCCCACAAAGCATCAACTAACTTCAAGCTCCGATCCTTCCAATTTGATTTGACGATCTTCTCAATGATGGATTTAATTTCCCAATTTGACATCTCCGCTTGTCCGTTAGTCTACGGATGATAGGTCGTCGCGATTCGTTGAGTAACACCGTATTTTTTCATCAACGCATCAACAATCCGATTGATAAAATGCATTCCTCTATCGCAAATGATCTCTCTCAGAGTACCAAACCTGGAAAAAATAAAGTCACTCAAAAAATCAGTCGTTGTTTTGACATCATTATTCCGGTAGCTTTTGCCTCTACCCATTTAGAGACACAATAAACCGCCAATACAATATATAATTTTTCAAACGATGAGGTGAATGTGGATCAGATTCATTGGCATTTCACTTCTTCGACTTAAGTTTCTGAAGCATTGGCACCTGTCGCATGCTTTACAAAAATTGTAAGTATCCTTAAACATATTCATCCAATAAAATATGCACTGAAGAATTTTGTAAGCAGTACGTTTAGGCCCGAAATGACCTCTGTAAGAGTAAGAATGACAAAAGGAAAGTATTGAATTTACTCTCTTTTACTTACGTATCGCCTAACAATTTGATCCAAATAATACTTCCATAGATAGATCATCCCAAATATAGAGCAATACTCTCGTTTAATTCGTTTAATCTCGATTCATGGTAAATTATCGGTAAGTTACTTGTTGCTAAGAAATTTGCCATATCGGCGAACTAAGGAAATGAAGTGCGCACCTCTATCAAATTCTCTTATGGAAATTATTCTCGAATGGGCAATTTGATCGGTGACGTTGACAAACGGCTGAGATGATCAACCACCAAGTTTTCTCTTCCTTTTTTATCCTTAATTTCAAGGTTGAACTCCTGAAGGGAAATAATCCACCCTATTAATCTCGACTTTGCTTCCTTCTTGCTCATCGTGTATTTTGGTGTTGCATGATCGGAAAAACAAAAATTTTAGTTCCCAGTAAGTATGAACGGAATTTTCTAATGCAAAAATGACAATAAATAGTTATTTTACGTAGTCGAGTAATTGTGCTGACCCGATTCGAGGGTCCTAGAAGCATAGGCGATCACGTGATGTCCTTCCCCATTCATTTGGCCAAGAACGACTCACACGCTAAAGTCAGATGCATCCACATGATTTCAAATGGAAAATTTCAGTCCGGGGGTTGTACAATTGGCACGGGAATAAGTTTTTCCTTTAATGCAACAAAAAAATCCTTGCAAGTTTGATCCAAATCAAAGGTGGCATATTTTTGCATTAATAGGCATAAAGGTTGCGCCAATTTGGAGAAATCCTTTGTGAATCACTGGTAGAAACCTGCATGACCAAGGAAGCTACGAATTTCCCTCACTGAAGTGGGGTATGGAAGTGAGCAAAATTACGTCAGTTTTAGCCTTATCAATGACAGTTCCCTTGGTCAAAACCACATGCCCGAGAACTAATCCCTTACTCACCATGAAATGCCACTGCTCATAATTTAAAACCAAATTAAATTCAATGCAGTGATTTAAAACGTAGGAAAGATTAGATGGACATTGGGAAAAGGAATTACCATTAATGGTAAAATTGTCCATAAATACCTCGATTCCTCGCTCAATGTGTTCAGAGAAGATACTTAGCATGCATCGTTGAAATGTGGCAAGAGTATTGCAAATGCTGAATGTCATTCTTCTGGTTCTTTTGGTCTTCAGGTGCCATTGGAACCTGAAAAAAAATCCAAAAAACCCGTCAAGATAGCAATTATATGATTTACTAACAAGTCTCTCGACCATTTGATCAATAAAAGGCAAAGGAAAATGGTTATTTTGGGTTTGAGAGTTAAGTTTTTTGTAGTCAATGCACACTCTCCAACCGTTCTATAATCTCGTCGGAATCATCTCTCCTTCGGTGTTTTTGACAAATGTAACTCTGATCTTCTTTGGAACGACATGGATCAGACTTACCCTTTACTATCGGAGATGGGGTATATGATATCGGTGTCAAGTAATATTGAATTTCTTTTTTCACAACCTCCATCATCCGTAATTTAATCACCGCTGGCCTTCCCTCGTCAGTTTCACGCCTTCCTCCGTTTTGATTATATGCATACACGTGGATGGACTTAAGCCTTAATATCAGCTATCGTCCATCCAATGGCTTCCTTATTGGTACGCAAAACAGTAATTAAATCTTTCTCTTCTTCCTTTGAAAGTTTTCTAGAAATGATAACCGACAAAGTTTGGTTATCGCCCAAAAATGCATATTTGAGGTGTGAGGAAAGTTGTTTTAATTCCAATTTTGCCTCCTACAAAATTGAAGGAATAGGTTTAGTTCTAGAGGGTATTAGGCAAAAATTAGAAATAGGCGAGATAAGTTCATCTTCCTTTGAAAGTAAGATAGATAAAATAACTGAAATAGTCAACTCTCTTGTTGCAAGAAAGATTGGAACCAACAGATTATGTGGAATATGTGTATCTGATCATCCAGTAAACGATTGTCCACTGATTCAATATGACATATCTGCTCAGTTAAATCAAGGCACCTCCACCACCCCAACAGTCGCAAAAGTTATCATTAGAATCAATCATCGAGAGGTTGGCTCTTTCCTAGGAAAAATTCCAGATTCGTATTGAAGCCCACTTCCAAGAGATAGACAAGCAGATAAGCCAACTAGCTCAGATCGTGGGACATTTGGAATCACAAGGTAAACTTCCATCTCAAACCGAGGTAAACCCAAGGGAGAATGTCAGTGCTATCACTCTTCGGAGTGGTACAGTTGTACCTATTCCAGAAGATGAAGCAATCCACAAAGAAAAGAATGTTGTTGACTCAGGATCCCAAAATAATAGAGATGAATTACAAACGGATCCAATACCATCTCCTTATGTTGTGTCACCACCTTTTCCATCAAGGTTAGTAAAAAGGGATAAACAAGCTGAGGAAAAGGAAATATTATATGTATTTTGAAAGGTGGAAATTAATATACCTCTCCTTGAGGTTATTCGAACGGTTCCAAGATATGACCGGTTTTTGAAGGACCTTTGCACAACAAAGAGAAAACTTACCGGGAACGAGAAGGTAAATCTGAGAGAACATGTCTTAGTTATATTCCAACGAAAGTTTCCATAAAAACTAAAATTCCGAGGTATGTTTGCAATAGCCTGTAAAATTGGAAAGGTTGGGATAAAGTGAACCATGTATGATCTTGAAGCCTCTATTAATATGATGTCTCTCTCTGTTTATAATATGATTACTAATGAGCCTTTGAATGATACAAAAATATCAATTCAGCTTGCCAACAGATCTGTCATCTACACGGAAGGACTCTTGGAAAATGTATTGGTGAAGGTAAATGACTTAATATTTTATGTAATTGACATGGTGATGTGATCCAATTCAGCATCATGTTTAACTTTGCTATTCCAACCTTTCAAGGGAAGAAACTTTCTATCTTTATACATAATGATGCCTATTTCATATGCTATAACATAGTTATATTCATATACATATATTACATCTATAGCTATAATGATAATAACTTATTCATTATTATGTGTGAAGCATAAGTTATTATTATATACTATAGTACACATCTTTATATTATACACATTAATATAGTTCATATACTTAACTTATTCTTTATATTATGTGTGTAGGCACATTTTGGCCACAACTGGGAGCTACATTGGAGCTAAATGGTAAAAGCAAAGGTAAGTAAACTTACATGGGAACGTTTATGAGAGTTTAAGGAACATTTGGTGAAAAGTTGTCCGGAAACCCGTGAGCTCATAGTTGGATTGAGCTAAAGATTTGAGCTGCAAGATGACTTCAATTCAGTTGGGGAGTTGCACCATCATCATCACTACTTAGGACACTTCAAATATGTCATAAGTCAAATTTTGTGAGATCGTACCTTTTCGTAAATAGTTGCCACCTCAAGAGGTACCTTTTCACAATTAGCTGCCATAATGTTCGCCATGCTACAACTCATCTATGGCCAGCTCACCTCCAGCTCATTCACCCTAGAACTAGCTCAAACATGAAAGGTTACCTTCCAACAATTGTGACCTTTCATGAATGATGTTGCCCATAAAGATGCCCTTTCATTAAGGTGCACGTTGGTGAAGAGTTTACATCCATTAGAGGCATAGCACGATGCCTATTCGACCACCACTCACATGCCTTGCAAATGGAGACTTTGGCGCCAACTTGGGGAGACACAACACCATTCAGCCAAGGAAGGTAACTTTAGCGCCAAGATGAACAAGCATGTTACCATTCGGCTAAGGGAGATGAATATTCATCCTAGCCAAATCATCATGACCCCTTTGAAGAGGTAGCTGAACCATTACCAAGCCAAGGGACTTCTCCTTTCATTTTAAAGCATTATGTACTTTCATAAAGAATCATGTACTTGTTGAAACATTACGTGACTATTTCGCCAAGCCCCTCTCATATCCTATAAATTGAGAGGCTTGCTATCATTTGTACTCATCTCATTTCATAATATAAACAAATCTTTGTGAGTGAAATCTCTCTTCAAAGTTCTTTGTGAACTTTATCGATTAACCAAGTATATTTCTTATACATGTGGCGTCATTCCTTCACCTTGATTCCTAAATTCCTAGATTTTATATCTAGTGGGTTGAAGACACAATCACCACCCCTCAAGCAAGTTTGTGAAGATCGGGATTGTGCTTTCTAGCATAGTTTCTTCTTTGACGTGTTTGAGATACAACATCACCGCCATCTTCCATTCTGTCGCGACCGTCTTTCGATTGGGCCCTGGAATTGGGCTTCGACTTGAAAATTGTGGATTGGAGTCGCCACCGACCATTTTAAAATGAATTTAGGTAGGTCGGACACCATCTTACCTGATCTGCGTTTTACCAGAAACGTGTCGGGTTCGGGAGTCGGTTACGGTCAAGGAAGGATTAGCACCCTTGAACCGCCCTTTCGGTACCAATTAAATTTTCGGTTGTCTTTAATTGAGAAAATTAAGAATTTAAATTAAAATTTAAATTTCCGATTTGAGTTTCTTACCTTTGATTGGTTGGAATTTCTCTAAAAAAGGTCAAAAAATTTTAGACAAAAATAATAATAATAATAAATGAATATTAAATAAATCAAAATAAAATAAAATAATAAATCAAGAGAAAAAACGAAAAAAAAGTTAAAATTTAAAGAAAATATAAATAGGAAAAAGGATCAAATTAAAATGAATTAACTTTTTGAGTTCAAAACAGGACTAGATTGCATTAATTGAAAATTCAGAGAAACAATCAATGTACATGTGACCAAGTTGAAATAAAGCAAAAGATTATGTACAAATATAAAAGTGTGTAACTCTTGGGTGATCTCTTTCCCACTTAGACCAAAAAGTTTGAGAAAATATCACCCCTAAGGCCCACGTGAAATGAGTATGTGCTTTATTCATTATACCTTGTTTAGACTTAAAAAAAACTAAAGTAATATGCTTTAATCCTCCCTCAGCCGACAAAATAGAACCCCCAAAGCTCTTCTTTCTCATTTTTCACTTGAGAGATGATAAAAAAACAAAGGCCCCTTTCAACCCCAAACAAGACTAGAACTAACCTGACGTTAATGGTAACGAAGTTACCTTCGATGAGCTTCAGATGTGGTGGCTCCGATGAACGACAACAGCGAACAAGGTGGGCCTTTTTTCTTTTTTTGTATATTTTTTCGAATGGGTTTTTGATGGCTTGGTAATTCTCTCTTTTTTGGTTTGGTTCCTCTGCTCGTACGGTTTGGTTTATTCGAAAAAAAAGTTGTTTCTTTTCGAATGCTCTCCTCCTTTCTCAGATTTCTCTTTTATTTAGCTTCGGAATTGGTACAAAAGCTTCGATAAGTATTTCACCGCAACTTTGTAGTATGTATTTCGTGAGTAATATTTTATCTAATCTCTATGGGTTTCCCCTGTCCTTGTACTGTGTTTTACATCCACTATTTATAATGAAGACAAAAACACTATTTTTAGTCTCAAGTGTAGAGTCCTAATCGTGTTGAAATTTGTTGCTTGCACGTTTGTTGGTGAGTTGGACTGCTCC